TGTGAGCTTGCTCCTTATGTCTATGACTTGTGATTCCTGGCTTTTGATCTCCTTTTACATGGAAAGCTGCTGTGAATGATTAATGTTAAGCTCTTCTTGAAGCTTGCTATTCTATAACTTGAGCTTGGAGACTTTGTCCTTCAGCCTCCTAATTTCAGTAAGATATATAACTGACTGTGTTGTTTCCCTTGCTAAGTCGTGTTGAAGAGTTTCGCGCTCACTTCTAATCACTCTAATATCACATTCTAGCTTGTAGTACTTGTTCTTGTGCAACTTGAGTTGCTTAGCCTACTCCTTCTCCTTATCTTGTTGTAGCTTCTTCAGTTAATTAATTATTATTTTGTGCTTGCTATTCTGGTTCTGGGTATTCTTTAGTGAGGTCTAAAGAGTTTTAATATACTGTTCTACACGCGTTTAGTGGTTATTAAGCACTTTTAGCTGACGCAAATAATTTTGGGACTGTTCTTAATTGCAGGACAACCACCTTTTCTTCACACCTTCCTATTGCTGTATTAGGGTTGTGTGTTGCTCTTCTAGAGGGGCATAATCACGAGTAAAATTGTTTAAGACACCTAACCAGTCTATTACCACTTCTATTGCCACTTCTATTAACTAGTTATCTTTATAAGGACTCTCTATTAACACCTAAGGCTGCACTTATGCTTTGTCCTGAGGATTTAAGAGACAGGGAAAGGTGGATAGCCAGTAATAACTAGTGGCAGGCTAGAGAAGAAAATTAATAGTAGGAGCTGAGTAGCCAGGAAGAAGAGGAGGTATTGTTTAAGTAGACACACACTATATGTTATACTGCTTTAAGAGTTGTGACCTAAGGAGGAGGTAGCTTCCTGTTCTGATTTAGTATTAGTAACTGCTAAGAGTGGTAATGTTTAGTTACTAGAGGCGCTTGTGTCAGCCTATAGCGAGACTATACACACATTCACGCTAGCTAATAGCTACCCTGGTGTTAGCTGCAGTAGAAAGTCTAATGAGTTCACCCAGATTAGTAATTAAAACTACCCTGCAGGCATTAAGCAGTTATATACATCTATATCAGCCTTCAAGAAGTAAGACATTACAGCGTGTAAAGCCTGAGTTCTTAGGAGCGATTAGATGGACACAATATAGTCATCTAGCGTGGGGCTAAGGGGTAATCCTATACATCTTGGCAAGATCCTAATAGCCATCCTAGGATGCTGTGGTGGGTCTAAGGGAAACTAATAATTATTTGTTAATTAATACTAGCCTATAAATACTGGTTGTATATGTCCTAGGACTATCTCTCTATTCTTCTAGGACATAATAGATCCCTTGCTAAATCGTGACTTAACACCTCTTTCATTCCAGAGACATTGAGTCCTTTTAAGATAAAAGGCCTTGTGCCTTGCAGCATGTACAATTAATTATAGACAAGAGCTGCACTGCCACTTAATATGGGGCGCTAATAGCGCATCCTTTTTAAATGTAATAGGACTATTGGCATTGGCTGCTAAACCTTGGGTACTTGTGAGGAGTTGAGGGATACTTTCACCAAGAACAAGACTTTACATAATTATTAAGCTTATTAGCTTGGTAGATGTTAGTGCATAGATTAGGGTGCAATCTAGGTTAGGCCTCTAAAGAGTGATATAAAGAGACAATGTGTGTTATTCAAGATGCTGCTATTCATGGTTTTAAGAGCTTGTGATATGTCACTATACCTTCCTTCAAGGATGTTCCTGTAATGACTGTAACCTGCTAGTTAGGTATACATCTAGATAGAAATAAGTGTATCCTGAGTGAAGAGACTATACACTAGAATAACCTAGATCCTGTTGCTCTCAAGACTATCTAGAAGGCAGTGTTATAAGCTGTCTATAAGTGGGCTAGTTCTTAAAGCAGGAAAGATCTAATAATACTAAGCAGGATCTATATATCTTGTGATAGCATAGTGGAAGAAATAATGTGGACCTCCTTCTTGCTGAGATTTTTTAACAGTCATTAGATAGTTAATACTGTAACTAGAACCTTTACTTGGATGTTATATATAGTCTGGCTTAACATTAAGTACTAAATTATAGGCTTTAGTTATCTAGTGGGATTTAATAGCCTGAATCACTATGAGCAACATGTTATATACTGAAAAAGCCTTATTGTAGCGTTTTGAACCTTCTAGTCCATGACAATCTGCACTGAGGACATGCTTAATCTGATTGATAATCTCTCTGTTGAATGGTTCCTTATAGATCGCGGACATAGTGAGAAGGACTTTAGTGGTAATTGCAGAAACATGACAGATCTATATATTATTGCCTATCTTCCTGAAGGCTATGAAAGTGATTGTATTGAACCTGAAATGCCTATAAGTACACCTATTAAGCATGAAAAGAAGAAATCATTAACCAGGAGGGTTATAGAGATAAAGGTATGGAAAGACTTATAATCACGCATGTAGGTTTAGGAGCGACAACATTAAAGGATCTCACATAAATGATTGTTGGCGGCTAGTCATGTTGTATTGGGGTTCAACGCTGTACAAAGAATTGAAATGACCCACAAGTTTTAGGACGCCTTGTGCAGTCTTACACCACTAGCTATTGTGCAGATAGGCGTAAAGTGGCCATTCTATTGGGAAGATTAAGAGAAGGGACGGAATAGGCGAATACTGTAGCATAACTAATTCATTCAATGATATGGGCAGAGTACCTATGGAAATGGAAAGACACCTAAAGTGCCGTGGTCATCCTACATCCAATTACCACATGCTTTTCCAAAGTTCCGCTAGCTTTTGCAATGGGCTGACTAGAGACTGTGTAGGTAATTTGCTGTCTACTCAGGCCTTAGGTTTTGGCAGCCTTTACCCTTTACATGGCAGTTGACGACACACCTCGCAGAATGTCCGCCAGTAGTTTGTTGTCAAACTTCGTGGAGGATACTGGCAAAGCCATGTGCATCCTTGCCTGATAAATGCAAGACCAGGGGCATAGAAGGCTGGGCCAATCACTTTATGAGTATGAGATTTCCTGTTTTGGGGTTAGTCCTATAACCACAACTTTCCGCGGGCTAAGATCATGTGACCTCGGCCCTTGAGGTAGGGACCACCCCTCTTCAGGCAAGGAAGAATTGCAACAGGAAGATGTGCTTTATATATGCAGTATCCTATCGCAAGGTGCTTTGCCTGCCGTATACTGTTGTACTGGTCGTCGGCGTAGACACCAAGAATTGTTAACAGTCCGGGGCCCATCAACCACTTATGTTCCACCGCTCACAAGGGCTTGGGAGGGTTGAACAAATTGGCCTGCCTGAAGCTACAGGTCGATTGAGAGACTTGTATCAGTTTGGCAACTTCTGTTTACTTCAGGACCATACCGGGTACTGCCTCCTACAGCGATCATGGCGGTAGGGAGCAAGGAATGATCTCTTAGTCAGGATGAGAAGAAGCACCAGTCGCTTGCATTGCGCTTGACTCGATGTACCATTACAGTGGAGATGAAATCGATTGAGGTGGCTTTTTCAAACGCCGCGTACATAAATCATCCACCATCTTAAGGATATTCTCCGAAATAATGAGCGGGCGGAGCCACCAGTGGTGCTCACCTCGCTTTTCTTGCTCTTCAGATGTCTCCTTTAGAATGACGCAGTGATGTATTGTTGTGGACGTCGCCGTAGGCATCTTTCCAGTCCCGACACAATGCCCTTGGAAAATCTGTACAAGACAAGTATCCAGATGATGAGAGTGATAATGGCCCCAGCTATAGTGCTGACGATGGTTGAAGATGACTCGGGTACTTGGTTGCAGTGAGATTGAATGCAAGGTAACGTCATCCCAGTGTATGGTGAGATGCCATGGAAGATAAGAATGGCTGGCATGGTATGGACAAGGAGGAGAAGGGCGGCAAAACAAAGCCAAGCCATAATTCGCCAAAGCATATTGCCAAAGATCAGGAAGCTCTCAGAGGTGATCAGAACGATAACTGCAGAGTCTGCGATAGACCTGGTTCGTTCACTTTATATACATTAATATGACGGCCCATATGTTGCAGGAGGGGGGATGCGAGAGAAATTTTATCAGGTTCTTGGCTAGCGCAAGGCAGACTGCCCTTGAGCGACATACAAGTCCAGAGCATCAGCCGGCAAGCAGATCGACACGTGCCAATGTGCGTCTTCTACAGTACTGTACAGTAGCCGAGTCCAATACTGTATCTAGCTGCGTCAACTTGGACTAGAGTCACATCGTAAGGCGGATCTTAAACATTTTACCACACTGCGGACTCTGTGGCAAATGCTGTGGACACGAATGGTGCAGTATCCTGCAGGTCCACAATTGCACGGGGCACCGAGGCCAACATAGGAGCAAGGGGAAACCTTATTCCTAGCTCCCACATGTATAAGAGGAGTATCTTGATGGTGCTGGAGTCCACCGGTCATCTTGACAACGTGATACTGTATCTCTTTTGCCCGTCAAAATTTCTCTCTAATGAGGTAATGCTTCTTTCGCATTAGGTGAAGTCACATCTCGCACGTACATCTCCACCTTTGCGATCTTCGGTAAGGAACTCGAAGGCATCGCAGACAGGCAATCGCCAAATATATTCTACCGCTCGACACCTCCATCGCGCACCCTTACAATGTGCCCTGATCTTATGGATCAAAGGCTGTTCGACGATCAAGATTCGGTTGATTTGTTCTCTTATACACCTCACTCTGACTGCACCATCGCACCTAGTCAGATCTTTACGCCCGTATGTACTCCACAAGATAATTGGGCGACATTGTTTGAAGTACACGATACTTGCGCAAGTGTCTCATTATCCCCAGATGAGATCGCCTATTGCGCGGATCTTGAACGACCTTAAGATAATATGAAAGAACCCAAACATCGAGCAGGTTTTGAGCTCCCGCGCAAAACTAAGGATGCAGGGTACGGCGTTGTTCCTCGGAATACTTTTTCTTGCAGGATTGAAAGCTGTAGTGGCAAAGACTATAAACCCAAGTCCTTCCAGTGAAAATGCCACAGGGATTGACACGAAAGAACAGTGCATCCAAGTGGCATGTATATTCTACATTGGTGTTGGGTGAGGGGCTGTAAGAGTGCACCTTTCACGCGCGCGGACAATCTCAGGCATCACCTGAAGAAAACTCACGGCAAGAAGTCCTGGAGCGGCAAGTATCAGTATGTGGCAATGCAGGACTTATTGAGCATTCACTACGACCCCGAATGGATAGGTGAGATTGGTGAAGATGGCTCACCTAGAGGCACTTGAAGAAAGCCTGATCATCTGTCCAAAATCCGGAATGTGGGAATTAGTAGACCAGTCTCCTGTTCTGAGGAGGCTGGGGGATAGCTTAATTATATTATTATTCACACTAGTGTAGGATGCCGTGTGTTCTCTCTGGCGCGGGCACCCCGAACACAAATCAGCAGGTGGAGGCCCTTCTGATCGAATCTAATCTGGTTTGTTCGTCTTTCTACTGTACCTGCAACTGCTTCAACGCGGAATTTAGGCACATCTTCTCCAGCCTGGGCCCTGCTGGAGTAACTTGGTTGTCTGGGGAGGTACTGTGCTAGCGAAAACTTCTGCTCGGACAATGAGCCAGCATTCGGGTTAGGCGGGAGATCCGCCATGTTATACAGCAATATGAGGTCTCAAAGCTTGTCCATGCTACTCTTTCTTCTTTTGAGCTGCTGATATGGTATTACCATCACCTAACAATTCATGCTTAGACATCCTTTCAGACAAGGGCTCCGAGAACATACTTGACTTTGCCACAGTCTCTCTAATCTCTTGCTTCATTTTCGAATGAATTAGCTGTGTCCAGATAACAAGCACCAGAAAGGCAATGAGGAGAACCTTCAAAGAGATACTAATGTAGTTAAGAACTGAATAAGCGAGCCAGATGAAGTCCATGATAGATGAAACAGTACAAGTTGCTGGACATGTTGTCGGCTGAAGCTGTGAGAGTATCTTAAGTATATCCGGTACTGCCAAGGAATTCTTGGAGTTCTGTTGACACATTGTTCGTGGGCTCTTATTGGCGAAAAGGAGGATCCAGTACTGACAAGATGTGACTTTTGCAACATTACGCCGGCAAGACTTGCGGGGGTCACAGCATCATTTCAAACCCAGGAGGGAGGAAGTCAGTCAGAAGCAGAAAGGCTTCTTGCCACTGAATTGCACTTCCGTCCCCCCTAGGGAAGGCATGGTTCTGCTGTGGCAAAGCCAAGTCTCACTACGAGTAGATCGAGTAGTTGGTCCTGTAGGCAAAGAGCCTCTACAGCTGCTGGATTTGTTGTTAACCACATGAATGATCACCCGGAATACATCTGATAGTCAAGAATGGGAACGACTCCATGTCACGCTGTACCACATGATTAATTAGGGCGGCCACATAAGATAGTGTTTCGTCTTTCTAAGTTTGATTAGGCTCAAACGGCTTCTCTGGTAATACTTGGCTGACTTATGAAGGTCCTGTGCCCTGACAAGGTACTTTCACCAGCCTCAATAGCTGTCAAATTATCTGCAACCTGATGGATTATTTTGGAATATATCCAAGATTTGTATAGCAGTGCACTCCATACAATAAACCACTTCTATTTGTGGTGGAAGCCTACAACCTCCACCACTCACTAGCCTAAACTTAGGGCGCGAAGATCATAACTCTCCAGTATTGGCCACACTAAACAGGTAGAAGCAGAGTCTTTAATCCCTACACTCTATGTAGGCTTTCAGGAGAGCTGTTTAATATCTAGTGGTAGACGCCACAAGTGAAGAGATAATCTGCGACGAGCCGACGGCAGTTAGTCAGTAGTCTTCAAGCAGCTTATTCTAGTAGCTCTTGCTCACTCAGACTCACTCAGAATCGCTACTAGAGCAGCCATCATTTTTCAAGATTCAGTTTGATTCTTGGTTGTAAGAATACACCATTCAGAGCCACTATAGGAGTGGCCCTCAGTGGTTTGACCTTCGCTCTGTATTAGCCTTTACTCGCAATAACCAGGTTTTTAGGCATGGTAACTATGTTATTATTACAATGCTTAGAGTACAGGATAAGTAGAGATGTGTAGCGGATATAGGATATATTAACAAGATCAGGCACCTTCCAAGACCTGATCACAAGAAACTTGTCCTTATCACCTGGCTGTATCACTATTGTGGGTGATACTATGAGAGTAATTATCTGCAAATTGTTCTATGGGACACTATTGCTAGACAAGCCATGATAGAGTAGATTTAAAAGATAAGGAGAGGTATAACCTATAATGTATATGGAGGTAAAAGGATTTGTGACACTAGATAGGGCTGATTATAGAGGAAGTGGAAACAACAGATCACTGGTGGGAAAGCCTGAGAAGCCGTTATTAATATGTAATGAAGGTATTTATAGCTGGCATATCGGACGCTTGGGAGGCAATGGTCGCTTATTAATCGTTCTCTATGTGGACTTTAATGGTCAACACTCGCTGACGTTCCTGACCCTCCTCAGTGTATAAAGTTCATGTATAAATGCCCATGTTAGATATGTAACCCACATAGGATCTCCTATTATATACAAGCTGAGCAATTACTTCTAATTTCTATGTTATACTACTGTTCTAAATACATGATGTGTTTCTTCCCCTCTATACCTAGTGGTGGTGGGTTAATAGTAAACCCTTCTCTACTATTTTAGTATGCTTATGTTAGATTCCCTTAGCATGACTTTAATAGTAGGGGTGAGAATAGGTAGTTATAAACATTACTTTATCCTCCTACTGAAGTTTATGGCTTCTGATATTCTAATAGAGACATAATTAAAATGATAGGCTTAGTGGGAGATGAATATATGTATATTCTGTTGTTTAGTATAATAGGTAATATGTAGTACTGCTCTTAGGTCACTATATAAATCGTAGATATTGCACCTTGTTGTGAAAGAATGGCTGATTCTCAAGAGAGCTTTAGTTGAAGTTCCTTTCTCTGTTAAATAAACACGCTCCATAAAAGTAATCCTGGCTAGGCCTGACGCCACTACTAAAGTCAATTTGTTGTCTAGTGTAGATTGACACTCACGCTGAAAGAGGCGGTTAGGATTGAATATTGACTAACCACACTAGGAGGTATTATGGAGTATAGCTGCGGTTATAGATATATCTCCTCTAAAAACCTGGCTGAGTGCTTAGTATATTGTTGCCCCTTCTAGTGACCCTAGCTGATACACCTATGGCTTTAGAGATCCTAGAACAGCCTATATCTTAGACTCTGTTAATATAACATTTTAGGGAATTTTAATGACCAAGTGGTAAATATCTGAATATAGGCTTATTACTGATTTAGTGGTGGTATAGATTAATGCATTATAACAGTGGAGTTTCTAAAACAGGTTAAGAGGAGAAAAGGTGAAATTCAAGTTATAGTGTATAACCAGGAAGTATATGAACAACATGCTTAAGGTTCACTATAGTACCTAACACTTCTGGTGATATATCTTAGATATATTATGTGCTTGACATGTATATGAAAAGATCTAGTGATAATAGATCAGTCACCATGATGCTGAGCAGGGGGGCAGGGGGGTGGGTAACATAACTGAAATATGTGGTTGCTATTCACAGCCACTGTTCTTTGTGTCATGGCCAATGATCTGCAGGAAATGTTTGGATGCTTACTCTCATAATGCTATATCCTATAGGTATAGTACAGTGTACTGTCTCCATGCTTCTCTATTGTGAGCAGTTGCTAGATGTTTACCTTACTCTAGGCCTTTATGGCTCTATGACAATTGTAATGAGGCTACAGCACATCTCTTTTCTCTTTAATAGCTCTTATTTGCTTTGTTGTTGTGGTGGTGGCTGTCTACTATGCTTATAGTCTTTGCTATCCTGGGCTTAGAGTGAAGCCTTAGGTGACACTACCTGAGCCATAGCATAACTAGATATGTGCTACTATAGCTGGCACCTAGCCAGGAAGCACTACTTAGGTATAGTTGAGCGCTATATCTTGGAATTATTTCGCAATAGTGATGGCCACGTCTACACTAGTCCAAGGTATCACTGGAAATGGATCAGTCCTGGTGTCCAACTAAAAGAAAGGTTTCTCCTATAACAAAGCATCCTATCTCAGCAGCTTTAGAGCTCAAGGAGGTTCCTAGGCCTATAACTAGAAAGTGCAGCTAGATAGTGCTCTACCACCTAGCCTAGAGTACATTCCCATATATTAGGGACCTGGATTAGCACCTACTTGTGTTAATAACATATAAGCAGTGATCTCTTCTGGTTCTGCCTATCTATTTTCCTTTAATGAACCTGATTACCTATTGCAAGTAAACATGACTCTATAAGCTGCTGCAGCTCTACACATATAGATTGTTGATTTATTGTCCACCTCTGCTGAGATTAGCTCCCTAGTAGTGATAAATAGACCACCTCCCATAGGCATCTTATAGTTGGAATAATTCCTTGATAGCTATGGCGGCCCCTATCTAGTTGATTTTATTACATATTATTGGTATGGTGCTGCACAAGATCTTGATGGCCTGAGAAAACACACTGAGGACGTTATAGGCTTGGCCCATTAGTATAGTATTAACCAAGTCTGGCTGATGGAATTTGGGGCTGATCCTGGAATGCTAGCAGATAAAGTGACCTTCCTAGAAGAAGCGATGGATTTTCTTGACAACAATCCTGCTGTTGAACAGTATGCTTTCTTCATGTTGAGCGACAGCATTCTGCTATCTGGAAATAGTCTGAGTGATCTAGGCGAGATCTACGTCGGGAAATCCCGATAAAGATGTGATAACGATTGCAGTCAACTAGGCACCATGCGATACATAGATGAACAGATCTTGCAGTTTGGTGCATTATCTGACGACCGGAATGGCTACTCTATATCTATAGGTCCACTATATTTCGCTCAAATCCAATTTATTACCCCGAAGTCTGAATCACAACAGCTACTTGATACCCAGGAAAACTTGTAGGCTTGCAGGTGCTGCCAGGATTAGTATAGCGATTAAACTCTAAAGGCGTAAAGCTTCCCAGTGAAGGCCGAATGTGACTGCCAAGTTGGGTAATCTCGTTCCGGTCAAGATCCTGCCATTGTTTGGACGCTCGGCCGAGTATCAATCTACCTAGTCCACCTTGTTGTTTACCATAGGCTGCATGGCATTTTATGTAGAGGTATAGAGCCGTGCACTTTCAGGAAATAACCGCTGGAAAAAGACTCGCCTTATAAAGAGGACTGTAATGTTGATGCTAGGAGCTAAACTGGTAGCATCCAATAAAATGCCAATAAACAGGGTGTTAAGATCTTTTTCTATAGCATTATCAAATGGAATACCACAATGATTAACCAGTTAATACTTAGAAGCTTGCTCTGTTATTGTGAAGCTAATGAGAAGTTCGTTTCTACCACCCTCTACTAGTCTACGCCCTTGAGTGAGTCTATTAATAGTTAGTGAGAGGAATCCAAGATTTGTGGCTGTTTATGCGAGCTCCACTAGGTAAGGCATACTATTAATACCTCTAAGCTTATTCTTAATTCCTTTTTCACATTTACAAGGGCTCTTATTCAGAATGAAGGGCCAGAGCCTTATTATATAAAGCCAAAGTTATGAGTAGGCCTAATTAAATGCATCTTCTTTAAGCTTGCAGGGTATGGTGTAGAAATTGGTGTTTCCTGTTTAGATTACCGTTTGATATTAGAAAGCGAACTTGCTCCAAAAAGATGTATATAAGGAGTCTTCTTGTCCCAGCTTTTTATTGCCTAGTAGCTTTCTGAGAGTCCTGCTACACAGCAATATATATTTATGGTCTTTAAAAAAGGTATAGAGAGAGGGTATTATTAGTCTGTACCTAATGGATTCTACTAAAACATGAGATTTATTATCCTGGGTGAGATAGTTCATAAGTTGGCCTAAATTAACATGTGATTATAATGATTCACAGTCACTCTGTGAAAATATAGGGCATTATCCCTAGAGAGCAGTGACTATCTCTTTACTGACCTTAACATAACCTCCTGAGCTAATAATCTCCTAAAAGTGGCTGACAGAGTCTAGGTAGTGTAGGTACTCCTGTTAAAATCTCAGCTATTGCTTGAGTAATTATGCAAGTGCCTACTTTATTGCATTTAGATGTAATAATCTTGTGCAAGACACCTAAATAAACGTGGTGCTAGAGACTGTGCCACTATAGATATTAATCTAGGCCTGTTGCTAGTTGTAGATAGTATTTCTAGAGTCGTTTAACCTTCTTTTCTATTAGTGATGTTAGGTTTTTCAGGATCTATATTCCTTTGTTTTCTTCTCCATGACAGTGGTACTTATATATATCGCGATAGTTGAGGCTGTATAAAGGGTTCTTCTTGTGTAATGGCTAGTAAATCTGATGCTGAACTAATATCTCTGACCCTTCTAGGATAAATCAGTAATAGAGCTGACAGTTTACACTTTATAGCTCACCTTTGTGATACAAGATAACCGGCCACTAGTGATTGTTACTATCTAAAGTGTACTTTGCTGCAGTTAGCCTGCACTTACCACTAAAGCACAACACTGATTTATTCAAGCTGAGATACAGCTCTAGAGGTATATAATAGTGTTAAGCTCTAATTAGACTTTAACTTAAGGCGTTTCCCTAGGTCTACCTATTAATTATCACCTTGACCTTATTGCGAGGATTAAGCCTAAAATATCCCTGCACTTTAAAGATCTCCACTAGACGCTCTACATAATGAGTCTTGCAATTTAATAATGCTAGGAGTGATATACTATTAAGTCTTATTCTGAATATACCAAGTAAGGCCTGTTCTTGATTAAGGCTGATTATATCATCTTCCTAGCTGACTAGACTATAGACTAGTGTAGATATCTGTGGTAACAAGTGATGAGTGTTAAACTGGATGCACTGGTGAAGGTGATAATGGTATGTATACCCCAGGAAAATGTGGGTATTACTGCTTTGAACCTAATTTAGACATGCTACAAGATCTGAATGTTATGTAGGACTCCCCACTGATCTGCAGGTTTATAGACATTAAGCTTGTTTATTGTCTTTAACAGGAAGTGATATTGCTTTAAAGTGGTTGTTATTAAGCACTTGTAGTCACAGCTAATTATAAGTTAGAAGTTATGCCTGCCCATTTGACCACTGACCAGGGACCCCCTAAGCTCTATCTGTTTAATGATGACCATATTGCTATGGGGTCTAATACCTTTACAACTGATCTATATATGGATAGCCTGGAAAGATCTAAACATGGTAAGGGCTGAAATACTAGAGAAAACCTGCTTGAGATGGTGTAATAGCTCTGTAGATACAGGTGTGAAATACAATTCTTTTATACTGTCTATGCTGGCTTAGAGGCATTAGTTCTTAGAGTCTAGTCTATAGTTTAGCAAATAATATTAAACTACTATTTAAGACTAGAAGTGGATGGTGACTAAGATAAACAGTGGCTGGAGCTAAGTGTAGAGTTGGAATGTTGTATAGCATCTTATGTAATATTAGTATCCTCAGTAGAGGCTGAGTGGCTTGAGTTAAGCTCTTGTTAAGCAGAGATAGACTGCTTATTAAAACCCTTCTAGAATTCACACTATAGTATTGTTACTAACCAGGAGACTTTTACAGCTCTCCTACTATTAGGTCTTGAGTGAATTTATTGTCTATATATATTGCACTAAGTAGTGTTGTAATGAGAATCTTTACTTGAAGGTATAGACACTTACAAATTTGGCTGGGCAAAATTCACACCATGGTAATGGCTGTGTAGATTAATTCTAGAACACACTACACTATATCTAGCTTATAAGAATATAAATTATATCTAAAAAGATTATAGCTATAATGGTCTAAACAGGTAATTGTATATACTAAGGCTGTGGTGGTTAAAGGTTATTAAGGCTACCTAGTAACACTATATATATATAATATAGAGGCTAATATTTCTATACTCTTAGGCTCTTCCTAATACAATAACATCTAGACAGATAGTATAGTACTATTATATAGATATATTTCCTAGTGTCTCTAGCCAGTCCCAGACCTAGTAAACTATTAGTATATATTAGTCTTTATTAGAGATGCATAATAGCCAGGGAGGCACTCTGAATTTTGTTGCGCACCACTTGTTTCTCCCTTCTAGTAGTGTTTCTACCTAAGGGAAGGCGGTTTAACAGAATTATAAGATAGTGCTGTTATTAGCCTAATAACACTGCCTATTATTAAAGGCTGTCTTAGTGAGGAGAAACCTATCTTGATCTTGATCAGTCTTGAATTAACCCTAAACCTGATGGACACTCTATAACTTTTTAAATAGTACTGACTGCTATGTTCTATATATAAAGACTATGCCAGGATTAGCTTTACTAGGTGATGCCTCAGGTAGAGTGATATAGCTATTCTCTTGGTAGTAGAGTAAAATTTTGTCTCTAGGGGCTACATATAATGCTATTAATAAATCAATGTGTGATTAATAATCACTATAGATATTGTTAGTCTCTATCATATAAGCACTAGGTTCCTGTAGAAGCTTGTAGGTCATTTCTTGATCTATATTAACACCTTTAACTCTAAAGACTGGTAATACTGTTAGCTTGAGTATATATACCTTCCTAACTCTATTTTACTATTATTCCTGGTATAACCTGCAGCACTAATATAGTGATTATCTTGATTAATAACTGTGGCTTCTTCCACCTAGCTATGGCTGCTAACAAGGATATAAACAAGGATAAGAATATAAAATATTTGATTTTAAACTATCTTTGTTTAGTTCAGGGAACTGTTAATAGTTATTAGTAGTTCTTAGTGGCTTTAGCGCTATAGTGATAGAACAGCTCTTAAAGAATAAGAAAAGGAAGAGGATGGTGGAGATTCAGACTAGAATTGTGGGTGATTAATATAGCTATAAAAGTAGTAGCACCTAAGGTAGAGGGCTAATGTGGGACCACCTTCTTTAGGAGGTTCTATAGGCTACTAAGCTCTTGCTGTTGGAACTGCAGCCCTTATATATATATGTGTCCACACTAAGGTGACTAGAATACACACACATGCTATATTCTACTATAGAAATGTGTTACAGTAGATATAGGCTGCTGATATGGCCAGTACTGTACTGTACATGAAAGTGCCACTAGGTAGAGAATAATTGCAAACCTGTTGCGATGCAGAGAGATGTTTCCCCCGCAAAGAATGCCATATGGGGCTCACAGCAAGGTCACCGTTGAAGCTATTGTATCCGCCCGTAGGCCTTGTAGGTGACCTTTCTTAGCCGCTGGGACTAGACTGAGATTATCTTGAAGCTTGTAAGAGATCTCAGCCTGTTGTTGGTGGTCAATATGCCGGCCATGCTAGATGGCTAAATCCCTTCTATAAGCTCCTGATTTTAGCATTACAAGCAGCACATCACTTTTCCTGTCTTATTTTGCTTTCTGTATATATCAGGACACAGGGTTTTAATTGAATTAAGACGTTTCTCCTATTCACCTTTTCCCCTATTAGTATTTGTAAGTGTCTCTAAGCTTGTTATCTTACTAGGTATTAATTTCTGTTTAAGTATTAGATTAGATATTGTGGATAGAATAGGCATTTAGATGTGGATGTACTATTAGTTATAATCTCACCTAATTGTGTATCCTACTAACTAATTTAGACGCTGATTATAGTATATCCCACACTGAGGCAGTTAGAAGCATACTTGAAAGGCCTCCTTGCTGTAATGAATCAGGTCTACATGATACACTCATCCCTAATGTAGAAATTATCCTTGGTT